ATGCTGAATCAGTATATGACATCCAGATCAGACACCAAATCCTGAGAGATCCCATGGCTATTCTCACCTTCATGCAGAACCAGACAGAAACGGGGAAGGTCATTATGATGAACAGGAAAGACAAGATGGTCAAAAGCCACTCACAGACACCCAGACCAGGAGACTTTACACCTAGGGAGAAACCCAACAGGACTGTGTTAGAAGAGAACTGCTCCCAGAATACTGATAGCCTGACAAGTGCCTGTAGACATCAGCTTCACTGTAGTCCTTCGCCTGGACTCATTGTAAATGAACCACTTGGCTCTCTCTGGAGGTGAATTAAGGAACACTCCCTGCTCCAGATTGCTGGGAGCTGCAAGGATGGATGCATAGATTTTGTCTCTGCTTCACTGACAAAAATTGAGCCATGCTTCTCCATGGCTGCTTGACTGGAGAGCAGACTTTATCTTGAAGAATTGGGGCTACCAAGCAGGGTTGAAAGGCTTGGAATGGGCAACTTTGCTGAGCAGGGGTCCCTGAAGTTTATCTGGAAAGTTAAGCTAAAGATTGTAAATAAGAGAGAACTTTAAACATGCACAGCCTGAAGTGCCCTTTTATATCAGAGTATTTCAGGTTGTTTTGGAATAGGATTTTAGTTGCATCCCAGCTCCATAATGCAGTGGGATGGAGCCTCTGCTGCCAGTAAAATCTACCTGTGTTCTTAGAAGTCACCCCAAGCTGTTAGAGGCTGACTGGGGTGGTCAGCCCAGATATTATTGCTTTCTACATCTCCCCAGAGTGAGTGTGGGTCATCTTGCTCTGGCTGCCCTTTGTTGTGCTCCTGTCTGAGGGAAAAATTGGCAGATCTGGCATGAAAACAGATGGAGCCAGAGAGTGGATCAGGATTTCCAGCTGTGAAATTAGCATCCCTCCCATTTTTAATCCCTTCCAACCCTTCCATCCCTGCCCCTCTGCCTTTTAAATACTTTGCAGAACCATCAAGTCTTGAGGGAGCTTCAGATCCCAAGAATTTGTGTAGTCACTAGAGTGCCTAAGCACTGCCTTATAGCTGTAATTCCTATAATGGAGGCAGAAAGATGAGGCTGTGAAGAGCTAGTTCCCAGGGAGTCAGGAGCAAGTCTGAACCTTTCTGTCACTCTGGGAAGGGCACAAGTAGTTCTGGCTCTTGTAATACACATCTGCCATGCCTGTGGTGATGCTGGGTCCAAACAGGCCCAGTTGTATTACCAAAATGATCCTGATGCTGTAGCAGGCTGGGAATGTGCCTGACAAACATGTGAAGAGGAGCTGCTCTTAAAGGTTGTCCAGCAGGTGAACAGCAAATGTGCACCTCTAGGGCAGTTCTTCCCTGCAGCGAAGTCCTGTGGGCTATGAACTGGCAGTAAGGCCAATGCCTAAAGGCCACCTAAAGGAGGCCAAGCAAGAAAAGGAAGAGCAGAGCATGAACAGAACTGGGGAGTAGCAAGCAGAGCATGAAGGATGCTGGGAATGTAACTGCTTGTATCCAGGTTCACTGCTTTGCTGGATGGTGCTAATAAGCCTGTAGAAGCTGGCTTAGAAGAAGAAAGAAGAAGAAGGCTTAAAGAAGAAGGAGGCTGGCTGGAGTCTCCCATATCCTATCCTGAGGATAACCACACCTGTGCAAGGTGGGTGTGATGACACCATGCAGAGAGCAAGAGTCACATTGTGACCCATGCAGCATCAAAGAGCCCACAGTTTTCCAACCCCTTCCCTTCTTTAAGCCGTACCTTCCTCTTGCTGCTCACTATCCAGCAATGCCATTGCCTCCATTTCTTCATCAGACACCACATCATCCACGTCCACCACTGTGGAGGTGTGCACCCTTCCATCACTCCCTGCGGTGCTCTTGGTCTCCTTGGCTTTCTCCTGCTTTACATCTCCCTTTCCTTTGCCAGCTTCTCTGCTGCTCTCTCTCTTCTCTCGTTTGCTCTGCACAGCCGGGGACTCTCTGCGTCTTCTATGAGACTCCCTGGAAGAGCTCCGAGACCTCTTCTCCATCCTCATCTGTGCCGAGGAGCACACAGCTGCCTGGGGAGTAGAACGAGTGCGTGCTCAAATTTATTGCTGCAGGCAGGAAAAGCAGGGAGGGGAGAAGGGGAGGTGTCACATCAAGGAGGCTCATTTCAAGTTCATCACAGGCTTGTCAGGCATAATGGACAGTGAAGTGAGCAAGCTGTTTCCAGCTGCTCTGCTCTCATCATGCACAGCTGTGGAGATGGGAAGGAAAGTTAGACCTGGACCCCAGGAGAACATTCCATTTGCATCTTCCTGCTTTTGGAAAAGAAACACAATCAGAAGCACCCTGGTGATTTTTAGTATATAAGTTTCTGCAAAGCTGTTGAAAAGCAACCTAAAAGTAACTAAAAGTCAGGTATGTGGCCCTAAAGACACCAAAAGGTGAGAGTGGCCCAAATAGACACCGGGGTGAAAAACCTTTGATGGTGAAACCAGTGGCTTACTTGGAGGTGGTTGGAGGGGGTGTTGTGGTGAACATCTGGGTGAGTACCATCTCACACTGCTCTGCTCTCCAGAAGCCCTTTGGCTGGCACTGTGAAAGGACATTGGCAGCAGTCCCCCTCTCTCTAGGGTCACATTTTAGCAAGGAGGGAAAGTAACCGGTCCCAGCTTTCCTGAACGGAATAATAAGAGAATAATATGAGAGCTATCACAGAGTTAGAGCTGTTGAATCTAAATTGCCAAAAGAGTTTGTGCCTAAATGCCTCCCTAGTTTTCCACAGCAGGAGCATGGCAGAGCAAACATAGGAGCTTTCTCTTTTCATGCTGCTCAGCCTGTGTTGACATCCGCAGAAACCCGTGGAAGAAACACTTTTAAAATCACCAACTGTGTTAAAGCAGTCAGTACCTGGCTAGAAATTACACTACAGAAAGACACAGGTAGCAGGTGTGACAGGACAGAAAGCAGGACAGGCTGAGCTCAGGGATTCCAGTCCTGGGTGTGGAGGAGTGGCTGGACAGAGCTGGGAAGACATCTGGGGAGGTGCTGATCTTGTTTTTTCACAGATTCCTATTTTATTGGAGACTTGTGGTCCACCCAGAGTCAGGATATTGCAGGCAGGGAGGGCAGGAGCACCAGCTGCCTGCTTTCTGTGCTGTGCTGGGTGCCGTGTCAGCAGGTCACCAGGGAAGTGATGGATGGAAAGTGCTAAAGGCAGAGAAAAGTTGGGTGAAAATGGGGTGTAATTAATACATTTGTTCAGTGTATATTATTTGGAAGTGCTCCAGAAACCTTTCCCACTTTGTGTTTATCGCTTGGCCGACGTAGGACTGGCAAAGATGGTCTCCAGCTGCTGAAAAGGCAGGTGGTGTTTTAAGCAGCAACAGCAAAAGGCAGCTCAGGTCTGGTTTTGGATTCTAGTCGGTGTCTTGTCAAAAGCATCCCAGCATGTTTAACACCTCCAAAGCTGCAACATGCTGGCTTTGTCTGATGTTTTATTCAACCAGTGGGTCCTGACTCCACCATGGCCTGGAGATGTGTTTGGTTGCTAACTTTTGAAACAAGGAGATTTTTTGAGAGCACATGCTGATGGGTGTCCCAAAATTCACAGGTTCAGCTCCTGTTTTAGTTTGAAATTTGCTGTGTGGAAATCAGCTGTGCAGTTGGGGCAGTTCCTCAGGTATCTGTGAGCCCTTAGGAAACAGCCACTGTACCCCTCTTTAACTACACTCTGTGACCTCTGGAAAGTCAAAATCTTCTGTGGATTTTTCCTCTCAGATGGGACTGAAAGAAATACAAGACTCCTCTTAATAACCACATCGTAACATAAATATTGTTATGTTGAAGGAACTGGTCCTGTTCTCTGTGTGTGGCTCTTTCCTAATGTGCTTTTTGTGCTTTGCTCCACTTTGGATTTTCCTCTTAGATGGGTCAAAAAAAAATATAAGGCTCCTTACAATACAAGACTCCTCTTACAAAATGCAAGACTCCATGACATGGAGGTTCTGGAACACAAGTCTGATGAGAAATAGCTGAGGAAGCTCAGCAGAGACATTATCACTGTACAAGCACAGCCACAGGAGGGTGTAGCCAGGTGGGGTCGGGCTTTTCACCCAAGCAAGCAGAGATAGGACAAGGGGATATAGTGTCCACCAGTACCAGGAGAGGTTGGGGTTGGACTAGGGACAAACTTCTTCATGGTAAGGAGTGGTTAGACATTGGAACAGGCTGCCCAGGGAGGTGGGGACATCACCATCCCTGAAGGTGTTTAAGACTGGACATGGCACTTGGTGCGCTGGTCCGGCTGACACCGTGGTGTTGGGTCATGGGTTGCACTCTATCATCTCAGAGATCTTCTCCAATCGTTTTTGTTTCGGTTTTTTTTGTGTTTTTTCTTAAGAAAGCGGGGAAAGCATCTCCCTGCCGGTCCTCCCCAGCCCTGAGGCAGCGGAAGGTCTATCCCGCCTCAGCGCTGAGGGCGGCGGCGGCCTCTCCCCCTCAGCGGTGCAGCAATGGCGGAGGGGGGAGGGGGGGGGTAGCGGCCCCGCCTTCACGCCCGAAAAGGCGGGAAAGGCGCCGCGCAGGCGCGCGGGGAGGTCGGAGCTATGGCGCTGTGCGTGTGGGAGGGAGCACGGGGGGTGTCCCGGCATGGCGCTGAGGGGAACAAGGATGTCTGTGGGGAACAGGGAACCTGCCAGGCTGAGGGGCGAGCCCTCGCGTTGGAGGGGGTCGCAGGGGTTTCTGCGAGGAGCACTCACCTCCCGGCGGTGGGTGGGGTGTCCTCGGGCAGCAGTATGGATGCGCAGGGTGTCTGGACTGGCTGAGGTTATGGGGTGCACTAAACTCCAGGGCTGCTGGCAAGTGAATACAGGGGTTGTTGGTGAACCTACTGCCCCCGCCAGCTTTCAGCTGCTAAGTGGGAAAAAGTTAACATTCTGGGTGATGATGAGCAGTTGTGGTACAAGTTGTCATCTGCTTGCTTGTGTTTCCCTTTAGCACAGAGGCGTCGAAGCAGGCACAGCTGATGGAGGTGCTGAAGAAGGAGGTGAGGGCGATGCTGATAGCTGCCAAAGCAGGCCTGACACCAGAACACCTGGAGGAGCAGTACATGGCCATGGTCTGCAAACCTCTCCCTCTGCGTGACCTGGGCTTCCAGTCCACCTTGGAGCTGGTGACACAAATGCCTGAAGTTGTCCGAATCTGTTCTTCTAAGAATGGCAGTTTAATCCTCAAAGGTGAGGTTTTGTTTCCAGATGGGTGGAGGCATTGTTTGCAACCTCATACTGGAGTGAAGGGATTTTCAGATGTGCAGAGCTGTATGTCACGTATCTGTTAATCTGTCTTTCATATGGCTCTGGTTAATTTTTTGTCTTTGATATTTCTTCTTGTATTTTGATCTGCTTTTTAACACTTTTGTGTTCTTCCCTCCTGCAAAAGTCACCCATGCTTCTAGCTATTTTTGTACACTTTTTCACTCTGCACTTGGTTTAGAAACTGATGTAACTTTTCCTTGGGTACACTAATGGTACACTTTTCCTAATGGGTACACTAGAACTGGTCTATAAATGCAGACTACAACAGGAGCCAAAACCAGGGTGGAGCCTCGAGAGAAGCTGTGAAGGTTTTTGTACCTGACCCCATTGGAAGCTTAGCCTATATCAAAGAACCTTTTTAATTTTCTTTTTCTTTGGGGAAGAGTTGTGACAGCAAATGGCAGTTGCAAAGAGTTGACTGAGAAGGGTGAAATGGTTGGGGGCTTTTTGAATGCTACAAGTAACACAAGAAAAAGTTGTTTAGAAGCTTTGAAGAGACCTGGGTGGTTCTCCATGGAGACCTTTCTTGGGCAGGATGTGCTCTGTAGTGAGAGTTTACTGTGATTCTGCTTTCCCAGCAAAACTCTCAGCAGCTTGGTTTTTATTTGTGATCCTGCATCCAAGAATTTGACCTGCCTTCCTGCCTGGTCTGAATTTCTAGGGATGAGGGTGCAAACTGGTTGCTGACTTTTAAAAATAGTTCAGTCCAGTTTGTAAAGGATGAGGTTGTTGGAAATCAGCCATGGTTTGGTGTGATTGCTTTTGAAGGAGACAGCTGCTTCTGGAAAGGGTGTGGAGAAGAGGAAAGAAAGGAATGAAGAGGAGCTTTTCCAGTGTAGAGTTTTTAATGGTTCATTGTTCTGGTTGTCTGTTTATTTCTTTCTGTTGCAGCCATTGCTGATGACTCCACCAAAGGGATTGCCAAGCTGGTAGCCAACCAGAAAGTAAAGACACGGAAGGCATCAAAGAAAACTGCTACAAAGGCAAATGCTACTTTTCCCACCAAGAACTCTAAGAATCCACAGAGTTTCCAAACTCTGAGTGCTGGAACTCCTGTCCTGCCAGCAGCAGTGAAGGCTGAGCTGCAGGACCTGCTGAGCTCCTCACCGCTTCTGCTCGCGGACTTGGACAAGGCCTTCCTCAGACGCTTTGGCCGGGCGTTCCAGTACAGGCAGTACGGATTTTTGTCCATGTTTGAAGTCCTCAGGAGTATGTCTGATTCCATTGTCATTGAGCAGACAAAAGCAGGTTCTTTGCTCGTCCTGAGGAAGTACTTGGCAAGCAGGATAGAACAGGAGGAGGTACCTCAGGGTGAGGCTGAGGAGGAAGAGGTGCCTCAGAGTGAGGCTGAGGAGGAAGAGGTGCCTCAAAGTGAGGCTGAGGAGGAAGAGGTGCCTCAAAGTGAGGCTGAGGAAGAAGAAGTGCCTCAAGGTGAGGCTGAGGAGGAAGAGGTGCCTCAAGGTGAAGCTCAGGAGGAAGAGATGCCTCAAGGTGAAGCTCAGGAGGAAGAGATGCTGCAAGGTGAGGTGATGTGTTTAACAGAAAGCATGTAGTTCTTAGAAGCTCTGTGGCCAAGCAACTGCCTTTCAAGTGTCTGTTGCTGCATTTCCAGTTGCTGTAGAAATCCTGATTCCGCTGAGGTTTAGCACAGAAGAACTGTTGAGTGCTGCAGAAGCAGCTGTCACAAGGCAGTTGCCTTGGTAGCAGAGAATTTAACGGGAAGGTTTCAACACACTGCCACTGTTTTGTGGTGTGAGGTGAAAGAAGGGCTGATTAGTCCATTCAGAGTATGGATTTGCTGAATGTGGATGTAGGACTGGAATTTCTAGTCACTCCAGGTAATAGGTGAAAGAACTAGAAGGATCTTCTCAATGTCTGCTCTGCAGGCTGGTAAAGCTTTTGCCATACACTTTTTGAGACTGAAGATTTAACACTGGCCTGACAGGCATGGCTACAGTGTTCCACAAGAGAGACAGGATGTAGATGCTCTCATCATTCCCATAAAACCTATGGGAGAGGATGGATAATCACATAGAGTTCCTGCCAAATTCACAGCTTTTCCAAGGAAAATTAATTTTAACATTATTCTAGCAATGGAATTTAACCCTTAGCTTGCTACAAGAGCAAGTGATTCTTGTTTTAACTTACTGACACAGTGAATCCTCATGACTGTGGTGAATGCTGCAAGTTTTGAGGAAAACAACACCAGTACTTTCAGACTTCCATTTGTTTATGCCTTCCCTTTCTGCTTAATATGCAGCACTGTATCAGTCCGATAATAACAGCCAAATTATTGTCTTTGCAGCAGCATCTGCAGCTAAGATGCCTCCTTTAGAACCCATCCATGAGACAGAGAGTTTCTGCCAGGCAGCACTTCCAATGGATTCGGAGACAGTGAAAACACAAGATTTGGATGATCACTTCAAACGAGTAAGTGGCTGGACAAATGATCTGTCCATTTTTCATGTTGATTTTAAGGGGTGATACTCTTTTTACTATCTTTGTGTCTGTTGAGTTTGCATTGTTGAGGCACCACTGCTTCCAAACATTTTTGTGCCTGTTTTAGATGTCTCCGGAGGCAAACAGATTCATGGTCTCCTGGTGGATAGCTTTATGTGGCATCCAAAGTCAATCTTTTTCTGGTCTCGAGGTCTATCAGATCATTCAAGGCCAGTGTAGTGTTATCTTGCTTAAAAGAGTGGTGATACCTTTTGCTATAGTTACTTGTAACTGGACTTTAATAACTTTGTTGTGAGGCAAGTTGTGTGAAATTTCCCCTGCTGCTGTTGACAGGGCATCAGTGTCAACCGGTTCGACAGAGCTGGGGAATGTTCCTCAGTGGCCTTGATTCCTGCAGTCTCAAGTCTGCTATTTTGTAGGAAATTATCATTATTTTGTTTTGTTTCACAGTGTGTTTTTTAGAAAGGGATGGAGAATAGCGGTGCGGAGACTCTGAGCTGCCAAATCTTTTTGGCAGAATTTGTTTGTCCCTCTTTTATTTTTTTGAGTATCTTTAGGCCTTCTTTTTCTCAGGAAAATCCTCTTGCTTATGGTTTTTTCCTCTGCCAAGCTTGTCTTGTGGCTATACCCAGCTGTACAATTGGAGCTTAGAGGCAGGGAAAGAATCCCAAGTGTTCTTCCTGACTTTGGTGTTTTGTGTACTAATGAGCTTGGAAGCACGGAACTATGAGTTGGACTTTGTGAAGCACTTGATAAAACATACCCTCGAGAGATTTTTGGCAGCCTGTTCTAATCCTTTTGAAGAAATTTAATTTGGTGTGATGAGATCCACAGGGAATTTCCCTAGATCAAACCACAAGTCTGATTGTGTGAAGGCTATGAAATGGGGGGATATGGTCGAGGTAGCCCCAGATTTTTGTTCCTAGACATTGCTGAGGGGACCCATTTAAAGATCCTGGCAAGACAAGATTTGGAAGATGTTGTTACAACTCCTGTTTGTCATGAAACACTAAGTTTGCTGTTTTGTTTTTAAAAAGCTCTGAAGAGGATGAAAGGAGTTTAGAATGTGTTTGTTTGGGTGTGCAGTGGACATTTGTTCATCAGAATGCTGCAAGGTAGAGGGGAAAGATGCAACCTGATCCCTGCCCTGCTGCCAGGTATCCTGAAGTGTTTCCAGGGTCAGATGAGGCACAAGGGCTGAGTCCATCTGCTCAGTTCCAAGAAGGATAAAGAAGACAGAGCTGCTGCTCTCAAGAGCTTTTTCTTGCTGCTGTGACAGCAGGAAAAGTGTCACCCACAGCACTCTTGGCAGCTGCCAGTCCAGCTTGGGACAAGGAGTCAGCCACTCTTGCAAGCCACACCTCTTACAAAGCCTGGTTTTACACTCTCTTCTCTTGCTTTGTCTTTTTATGACTTCATTGCATTTTGTGAGCTTCTTTTCAAATGCACATAAGTCTTTCAAAGAAATGTCTGCTGTCACTAACAATATGTGAGCTAGCATATAAAGCCCATGTGTGCCCTTAAGAGTCTGATCTGAAGAGCTTTCTCAGAGCAAAATTATCCCTTAGAAATGCCACCATTCACCAGGATTACACAGAGGAAATTTGTGAAGGCGTTTTTAGAGCTGCTGCTCAGGCCAGAATTCCCTCAGTTGCTCTTAGACTCAAAAACGTTAACTTGCTGTTTAACTCAAATTTTTTAGTCAAAATTTCTAGCTCCAAAAAATGGAAGGGCATTAGGCTTTACTCAGTCTTCAGAAGGAGAGACCAGGGAAGTGGTCACAGCACCAAGCCTGCCAGAATTCAAGAAACATTTACTCTCAGGCATGTGGTGGGATTCCTGGGGTGGTCATTTGCAGGGTCTAGGAGCTGGACTTTGATGATCCTTGTGGGTGCCTTCTGACTCAGAATATTCTATGATTCTGTGATCTGCACCTTTACAAAGTGCTTAAGAGAGCCACTATTGCAAAACCCATTGTTTTGCAGTTGAATTTAGCCATAGAAGCAACAGGGATTGTGCTGGAATGTGAATTGCCCACGCCTTGCCTGATGTATGATGCAGTGATAACTTGTACTGTGTTCACAATGAGTAAAATTGAAGTATTTTTGACTTCTAATCATTGGAGAAGTGCTGTCTGCTGGCACAAAAGAAAGCTCTTGAGGCAGTGAAAGTAGCTGACGTTTGATTAAGGCTCCCATCCATACTACTTCAAGTGAAAGAATGTTTTCAGCAGTTAGAATAATGAAAAATTGAAAGCTGTGTGAACAGCTCACTTGTACAAATTTGTCTAAAGTGAGAAAAGAACTGAATTTGTAGATCTTGACTGGTTTTGTCTGTGGGAAGTAGCTCTAGTGTGAAAGTGGGATGCATTCATGTCTTCTGTCACTTTGGAATCATTTTCAGATAGTTTTGCTAGTTCAATCATGTACTTTTTCATGGTCATGAGTCATTAGAAATAATATATTTTCAGTAAAATCCAGCAAAGAGGTGGGTTGGGTTTGGGGTTTGATTTTGTTTTGCTTTTTTGGCAATAGTCCTTCACTACTTTTGTCTAAATATATCACCTGACTTCAATTCCTCTCCTTTATTCCTTGCAGGAATATGAGCAAGGTATTTTTGTTGCACCCCCCTTAACACTGGAGGGAAGAAAGAGAGTGTGAAAATGATTGTTTCTATCACAGGGAAGGTTTTCATCTGAGTTTGTCCAACTTGTTGGGATCCTCTGATATTCAATCATTCACAAGTCCCCAGGAAAGCAGAACTATTTCTTAAATTAATGGAAAGGCCAATTGTGTGTGTTCAGTGCATGATGAGATATCTGAGTGCCACCTCCTGCTTATCCCCTTGTAGCATCAAGGTTTTGAGCAGTCTCCACCGAGTCCAAAGATCCCTCCAGATGCTGTTCAGGACAGAAGCCTTTGCAGTTTGCCACCTCTGAAGAGAAAGTGCTTGGTGGGAGTCATTGTGGAATTCATCGTCTCTCCTAGCCAGTTCTACATCCACGTCTGCAGCAGGGAAGCATCCTATAAACTGCAAGATCTGATGTTTGAGATGAGGTGGGAGCATGATATGGCAGCACAGTGGGTGTTTGTGCTGAGGGAACCGGGCACCCAGCTTTTGGTGATAGTCACTGCTGGCTTCAGCACCAGAGATGCTGGTGCTGTCCTGAAACACTACTTAAAATGTTTATCCATTCCTTTTAACTAACAAGCATTAAGTGTGGTCACCAGCAGTTCCTGTGGTTTGTCTGTGTCCTAGCAGTTCTGAACTTTGTAGGCCTTGGAAGGGTTATGGAAAGGAGCTTGAAGGGTTCCTTTGTCTTGACTGTGCAGCTGTTGCTAATGTGCTCAGTTAAAACTTTTACTTCCACCTCCAACACTGCACCTGGGCCAGTACTCCAGAACCTGATTCATGAGAAATGCTGATGGGTCAAGGTAATGGTAAAAAAGTAATTATTAGGATGACTCTGTTTAGCCTCAGATTAATCCCCATTAATTATCTTTTTGTCAGAACCCAAGAGTATCATTCAGATGTTACAAGTTTGGGGTTGCAATTTGATTCCCAAGTGTGGCAGGAAAGAGATATATAGGGTCTATTAAAACAGCTCTTGAAAATTCATGTCATGGGGGACTTTGCAAAGTCTTTTGATGCCCCATATATTTCTTCTTGTTCATCTCCTGAATCCTTTTAAGCCTGGTTTCTCACTTTCATCTTTTACAGACACGTTTACTCACATAAAGTTGCTTCTGATAAATACATCATGCCTGAGTCTGCAGTGCGGCCTGGGCAGCTCTGCTGTGTCATGGTCTCTAAGTGGTGGTACCGTGTGATCATCCACCGTGTGATCAATGACCAGGAGGTAGAGGTGTTCTATGCAGACTATGGACACCTCCAAATTGTCCAGAAGTCCTGGCTGAGATTCCTCAAGTAAGTGAATTACACGTGGGGTGGCAGAATTGCAGAACAGCTGAGGTTGGATTAGGCTTCTGGAGGTCATCCTGTCCAAGCTCCCTGCTGAAGCAGGGCTGTCCAGAACAGGCTGCCTAGGACCATGCTGAGATGGTTTTTGAATGTTTCCAAGGATGAAGATTCCATTACCTCTTTGGGCAACCCATTCCAGTGCTTGGTCACTCTCCTGGTGAAAATTACACTTTCCAGCTGGCCCACACTGTGCTGATGCATAGTGTTATTCTTCCCCAAGTGTGGGACTTCGCTGAACTTTGTGAGGTTCCTGTCTGCCCATTTCTCTATCCTGTCAAGATCTGTCTGGATGGTAACCTGACCCTCTAGGGCATCAGCCATTCCTGCCAGTTTTGTGCCATCAGCAGACTGAGGGTAGACTCTCCCCCATCACCCAGGTCGAGAATGAAGACATTGAGCAATACTGGACCCAGCACTGGCCCCTGGGGTACACTGCTAAATCCTTTCCTGTGTCTGCCTTCACTCTTCAGTCTGTCCTCTTGCTGCTGTCACCTCGGGGCAAGATCCCTAATGCTCCTTCCTGGATTGCATGAATGGATATACACATTCTCCTGAAGGCACATTCCCCAAGTGGGACTTGTTTGCAATGTCAGAGGTACTTTTTCTCTGCAGTTCAACACGTTTTCCGTATTGATGTCTTCCCCCTTGTTTGCCTCTCCTTGTGCCTGTCTGTCGGCATTCTTTGGTTCAAAAGTCATGGTTCTTTGTCTGTAACTTTGTCTCCACAAGGGGTTTTGATGGGAAAGTGCTTGGACTACATAAGGGACCACTTGTTATTGCTGTTTTGCTGTGCCCATTCTCTGGTTATGGAGTGTTTTCTGAAGCTGCTGTTGTATGCTTCTGCATTTCTAAACAGGTAGTAAAACCCAGAAGAGGAAGAAGTTCTGTTCTTCTGCTGATTTATCCCTGTTTTTGCTGTAATGGTTTTGCTTTGTATTTTAGGTGGCACTACTTGAAGCTCCCTGCTCAGGCCATCCCATGTTCCTTGGCATGGGTAAAACCTGTGGAGGTACGTGTCCATGTGCAGTTTTGTTTATTGACATATGTGGAGGAGTTATCAAGTAGAGGTTGTGTTTTTCTCCTGCCAAGAGCAGACATTTGGATGAAGTCAGGCCCTGTTGATATTTACAGCATAATTACTGTTCAGCAGTGTGCTGGGTGAGTATCTGCTCTACAATCAATCACCCTTTCACTGCTTTCCTTGCCATCAGAGCATTCTTGCTTACATTCTTTCAGAAACAGATGGCTACTGTTAAGCAACACAGCAGTTGTTGCTCTCTGCTCTCTGCCAGTAGTTCCCCAATGTCCTTCTGAAGCCTTGGTAGCTCCAACCCTCTGTTTCAAAATGTATTCTGTAACAGAGCTTTAAGTGAGGTGGTTTGGTGCAGTTAGCACAGCCAGAGTTATAGAGGCCATAAGAAAGTTTCTCTGTGATAGGAAACCTCTTGGTCAAGAAGCCTGAGAAGTACAGTCTCTGAAGGAAAGCATGTGAGCAGAGTTGCTGCCTGTGTGTTTTTAAAGATGTTGCTTTTAAAAAGTTATTTCCCCTGGGCTTTGAGGGTTGATCAGAGTGGTGAGGCTTAGCAGCATCTTAATAACTTTTGATACTTTTCATGTTTGTAAAGTCTTGTGATTTCAGGCATTAAAAAAGAAAACCCAACAAACAAAACCAACAAACAACTGTATTTTAGGCAATTGGGATAAAATTACTTGTGAATGCCATGGAACTATGTTTGGAAATAGGTATTTAGGGTGAAAAGGCATTGCCAGTGTAGTGAGAATTGCAGGCTTTGGGGTTGTTTGGTTTAGCTTCATGCTGGGAAGCTTGTCTACCTGACTTTCCTGTATTTGTCACTAGGCCGGCCTAGCTCAGTTGGCTTTTGACAAGTGCCCACCACAAGGAAAAATCTCAGATGGTGGATATTGGTCTGTTTATGGTAACTTCACATTGTTTCCTCTTCAGGGCACGTGGTCCAGTGCAGCAATTCTCCTGTTTAAGCATCTCTGTCGCTTCAAGGAACTTGTGGGCATCGTGGATGAATACGTGGATGGTGTTCTGTACCTCTTCCTGTGTGACACATCCACCAAGGAGGATGTCTACTTCCACTCTGTCTTGAGGGATATGGGATATGCTGATGTCTGTGGAGAGAACATCCCTTCCCAGGTCAGGAGAGAAGCTTGTGCTTCTGAAAGGAAGGGGAAGGGAAGGATCCCTGTTTGTGTGTCTGTAATGGGAAGATTCTTACTTTGGAATGGTTTTGTGAAGAGCAAAACTGGTATTCCCTGTTTTCCTGTAGCTTTTAATTTTGTGACTGCATCCCAGAGTGTCTAACTCTGTGGGGAGAGCTTGCTTTTTGGTTAAGGTGGAATCTGATGGTTCAGCAGAGATGTTCTGTTTAGTAGAACAAACTGTTTTCAGCCTGTCTTCTAGCAGTGGATTAAAAGTTGATATATAAATGGTTTTGGTTTACAAACTCTCACACCTCACCAGTGAAATGTACAGTGCTGGAAGGCATAACCATGGTAATTGCCTATTTTCACACCAGTTGCAAGCCACACCATTTGTGTTTTAGGCTTACCTGTGGCATTGTTTGCATGTCTCAGCTCAGTTCCAGTAAGAGCTGTGTGGAATATGAAAACCCTTGGAAAGGTACTGCTACGATTTTATATTCCAGCAGAAAGCTGAGTTTTACAGCCTGGAGTGCTCCTATCTGTTGTTTTATTCAGCAGATGCAGCATGCATGTTCTGGCTGGATTAGTGATGGTATTTTTGCATGTGTAGGCCAAATTTTTGGGGAGAGAGGCATTGCTCAGAAATTTTGCTGCTGGCAAAAGAGGAGTTGGTTTTCTTAATAAGGCCATTTTTGCAAGAATTTGGAGCTAACTCTTGGGTGTTGTGCACCTTCATCCATTTGCTGACCTGTTAGAGATTTGATGAATCCTTTTTATTCTTTGTGGTAATTACAACACAGAGGTTTTTTCCTGTTCTGGCATGGTTTTTATTTGCTCTAGGAATTTGAGGAACTGAATCCTTCAGCCTTGTATGTTCAGCCCAGTGGAAAGCAGGAGAATGCTGGAATGGTGGAGCCAGACCTTCACTTGCAGCAGGAATCTCAAGATGCAGACAGTGAAACAGCAACCTCAAAGCTGGATGGGGCTGAGCTGTGACCAGGTGAGAGTTTGGCACAGCTGCCATTCCATGAAGTCAGCTCCAGGGCTCAGCAGATGTGTCCTGTTTTAGTCCCGTGGAGTTGGTTTTCTGCTTTCATAAAAAGCAAGCAGAAATATGAAAACTATTATTTCTGTGGACCATAAATACCTTTATAGCTGCCTGTCCTCTGATCCCTTTGCAGACTTGAGGGAGTCTGTGTGCTCTCTCTAACCTCCCATATGTGCACCATAATTTTTTCAGTTTGAGAGTGGACTCTGAGAACTCAGAGCAGTGCCAGGTTCTTGTGATCAGTTTGACTTAGCACTTCCATGGCTTTGCACCCCGGGAGCCAGGAAGTGTGTGTTTTCCTCTTAGATCTCTGAGGTTTGGCAAAGGATGTGTAATAATTCAGGGTGGTAGTCTGTAAATGCAGGAAGAGACCACAAGTACTAGTGGAGAATATTTGCCATAAAGGGTCTTTCTCATCCTAAACCGACCTGAAAGGAAGTGATTTGCAGTGCTGGTTGTTGCTGGGGATGAGGTTCTGTACAACTACAGGTGTGTGAAAAAAAAGGGTAAATGTAAGGCATACATGTGTGCTGTACACCTTGGGTTTCAGAGCATGTTCAAAGAGAAGCCCTTGGCTATTGAGCAGTTGGATTAACTGCTGAAGAGAGAGGTAAAGTAAACCCCAGGAGCTGAGTGCAGTCTAGGGCAGTACCATTAGAAACACCAGGAGCACCTGTCTGCAGGTGATTCTTTCCCCTTTTCTGTGTTATTTAAATTGTAGTATTTTCATGAGACATTTTTTTACTACAGGGACCAAAACACCTTTCAAGCCAGTGTCAGCTGTTGAAGTGTTCAGCAGTGGCCCTGCTCTGGGGCTGCTCTTGACACTGCTCTGAAAGAAGAGCAAAAGCAAGTTTAAATGCTAGTAACTTGTAAAGCAGTAATTTTCTCTAACCAGCCTAGGTTTCTGTGCTAGAGAAACTGTGTAAGCTGTGTCTTGGAAATTAATGTCCTTGCTCTGTCAATTTATCAAATAACCTGAAAGACACAAACCATCATCTTATTGTATTTGGAAGAAGGTAATATGGGGAGGACTGCAAATCTGAGTTTGTGTTTCAAATGCAGGAATCTGGAGAGTTCCTTACCTAGCTGACTAAAGCAAGATTCATAAATGTCAGACATAGGTGGTGATGTGAAGACTAGAGGAATGTAAATGCATCCTGTCCCTCAGTAAGAATGGCGTGGGTGGCAAGAAGAGACAAAAATCATCTTGTAACCTTGTCCTAGCACTCATATTTTTTCCTGCATGTTAAGCAAAAGTTTTCAGTCGGCTGCTGGTATCCAGCAGCGTAGTTGGCTAATTGGGCTCTAGTGATGCCTGTCTTGGCATCCTGTCAGCTCTGAATTCCTGCTGCCCAGCCATCCTTGCTACTGCAGGAGTGCCTCACAGTCCCCTCGTGCCCTGACAACAGAAGCAGCCTAGAGAGCAAGTACCCAGTTTTTGAACAGCTGTGGTTGAATTGCTGCTTGTCTGTCATTTCACTAGTTTTCTTCTCCATACTGAGTTAAAAAATACAAACATCAGCTCTTGTCTGTGGCTGAGACGTGAGCGAACATCCCTGAAATGTAAATTTAATTTGAATTCTTAAGCAAAAATGCAGAGGGGCTTCCTCTGACTCAGCTCCTGCCTCCTTGCAGAAACTCCCTCTGTCATTGCCATCACTGGCTCTGCGTGGGGCTGCTGAGAGATGAGACAGCTGTTAATTCTCTGATGAGAAGAGGATGCCTTGAGTCTTGTAATAATCTATGGCTCTTTCCAGCTTGCTGTGGATGAAAAGCTGCCCTTTGGACAAGGGGACTGGGGTATTATTGTTGTGTAGTCTTGTTCTGGTTTTTAATTATCCATTTGCTGACCTTCCGCTTCTTTGTAAATTTTGAGATAATTAAGCAGCTAATGAGCTGAGTGTGCACTAATTGCACCCTCTCGATTTTTTTACATACATTTGTAGGCACCTCATTCTCTTGGAGAGTCCTCAATGCCTGCTCTCTTTGTAAAGGTCTTCTTCTTCTGACTTGATTCCTCCTTTATTTACTCCAGGCAACCAGCAGAAATGAGGCAAGATGACCCAGATCAGATAGAAAGTTATTCCAGCAGGGCCCAACTTTATGAAGCTGTACATCCCACTGTTGGACTCAGGGCAGCACCATTCATGCTGGGTCCCCTTGACAGTATGAACAGATTCATCAGTTAAAATTGACTGACAGAAAGTTAAGCACTGTGCTGTGAGTTTTGCAGCTCCTCTTGGGTATCCTAAGGCTGGTGCTGCTGGAACAGACGGAAGTGTTGGTGTTTCTGTGGGCTGGAGATGACACAGTAATAAAGAGCTGGATGCAATGTATCATGGTGACCTTTGTCTAGCAAAATGGATTTGTAATTGTTTAATGGGAACAAATTAATTGAGGGTTAGTTCTCTCATTGTTGGGTTTTGTTCTCTTTTCTAGACTGCAGGAGTACTTGTTTCTCCACTCCAGTGTTCATTTCATACTGAGTTTCCCAGTCTCTCAACTATAAGGAACTAAAGTATTTTGTAAACCCTATGAGTTCCCTGTGTGGGTGTTTGCCTTCCATCTTCCAAATGATGGAAGAATTTACAACACCCATACAAGAGTTGCTTGATTTACAAGGTGGATGAAGTGACTTGCCAAAGGCAATGGCTGTTTATGCCTTGGAACTTTCTCTAGAGTTCCCTAGACAAAAACTACTGAATTCACATCTGATTTCCCAGCTCTGGGGAAGTGGAGATGCAGCAGCAGGAGGAGAGGGGTCCTTGCATTATATCATGTCAGACTCATCAAATAGGTGTGCACTAGCCAGTTTTCTTTCCATGACCTGGTGAGGTCCAGGCAAAAGGGATTTCGGTCTAAACTGAAGCTCTTGGATTTGCCTGTTTAGATTTGATCTTTCTTTTCTGTGCTCCTCTTTATGCAGTTGAAGAAAACATGAAGACCAAGACCTTCCCAGGAGTCTCATGGTTGGCCTCTGCGGTGCTCTGGGCTCTGTGACCAAGGGCCACCTCAGGAACTGTGTGTCCCTCCTGCCCTGCCCTCTGCAGTGTTGGCAGCTGCATGATTGGCCACTTCTCATGCCTATTTCCAGTGGCAGCCCAGCCTGAGAAGGAAGGTGTGGTAAGAGGGGAGAAGCTGGAGCTGCTGCCAGGGAAGGCTGTCTGGAGCAGCACAGGCTCTTTGTCTGACTTATTTTATGATCTCTCTGTATGTTTTGTTTTGGTTTTTTTTTTGTTCAGAAACATTTAATCCCTTGGGAAAACCTGGAGTGTGATGTCTCAGGTGTGCCCAGCATGTGTGACAAATGTTAGTTTTACTTTCAGGAAAGTAGTTTGGTTTTGTTGTACCGGTGGTGTACTGAGTTACTGCTCTTTAATATAATGGTTCAGGAGAACATCCAAGTGTCATATTGTGTTACGTATCCTTTAAGTTTAGGAGAGGGAAACTGGCTGCCCATCTCTCCCTGCTTCAGTGCATGAGCTGTTTTGACATTTTGTGGGGATGTGGTTTTGGTTTTCAACACAGTGGCTGCTCTTCACACTCCTTGCTCTGAGGAGAGACGAAGAAACCTCCTTCCTCAAGAAGAAGATGCTGTGATTTGTTCAGCGTCGTGTGTACAAAGTGTCAGGAATCTCATCTTAAAGATATGGAATAAAATTTGTAAGGAATTTGGTGAGAGAGAGCCTGAAGCTTGACCGTGTTTGTGTCGCTCCTTGTCTGTGGCAGGTGATCCTGATGGGTGTTACTGCAGAGAAAAGTTGTGAAAACAGAAGTGCCCTGGTTAGGAATGCTGGCACCCAGCTGCTTTTCTGGTACCTGGAGTGTTCCTCACATCTTCAGGGGCTTCAAGGGACATTCTGTGCCCACATGCAACCATGCCAGAGATCTCTTCCTCTGCAAAACACCAAGAAAAGCTGAATTATACTAGCAGTAATACTGGGATGGGTAAAAGCCCAGCATAAGACATTTGTGGATTTGACTAGTTGATCTTTAAAGCTCTCTTCTAACCCAAACCATTGTATTATTCTTTTACTTTTTTTTTTTATTATTATTATTTCAGTATTTAAGGATGGTTTGGGATGTGAAACAGCTAAAAACTAAAAATCTGTGGCTGGTTAAGAAAGCAGCTGCTGGAGAAGCTAATGAAGGAGATGGAAGGAGGATGCTGAGGAGTGAGGGCTTTCCAACCCTGTGGGGAGGTTCAGAGGGTTCCTGACTTCTCTGGTGCTTGGGTTGGGGCACTCACTGCACGTTTTTGTCCATCCATCGCTGTTAAGGAGCTGAGCTTGCTCAGAGCTCACCCTCTGCTGCAGAACCCCCTTTTGGTTTCAGGGAGGTGACAGCTGGGGCCAGGGTGGGGTGTCCTGAGAAGACCCCCAGATCCTCTTTTACCTCTCCCTGGGCTGCAGCAGGGGCCTGAACGTGGAGGAGCTGTCAGCGTGTCCCTGCTGCTGCTGGGTCACTGCTAGGTGGCAGCCGAGGCCAGTGCTCAGCAGCTCAGCTCCCTGCAGCCTCAAACTGCTCTTCTTTGGGGGCCTGGGAGGGCGAGGGAGGTGAGGAGCTGAAGAACATCCTGCTCAGTGGGCAGTCCCCGAGCCCAGCAGGAGCTGCCTCTGCCCTGCTCCCTGCCTGCGGTGCAGCAGGCCCCCAGGCTGCCTGGGCATGTAACTGGGACCTTTGGGGATGGGTCCCATTGCTCTTTCAGGAAACTGGGAATGGGGAGATGCTATGGGGTCTGGAAGGTGCTGTGTGGATAGTGGCAGCTTACATGTGTGCAGAAAGGTAGCAGCAAATTTGTGGGAGAGAGCCAGCAAGTGTTAAACAGTATCCCTGTGATTTGGGGATTCCCAGACCTTCCAGTTTGGGTATGGAGGGAGCATATTCCAGGCACATCACTCTTTTTGCACTCTGGGTACCTGTTGAAGGTGGGCTACACAGCCTTGCTGCTATTCCATGTACCTTTCCTCATGCTGAACTGATGAGGATTTCCTTTTCCTTTGAGATTTTGCCATTCGCATGTTGTCTGCAAGTGCTTGGTTAGTTCTTCATGCACTTTCAATCAAGATAAAAGGTGAAGAACTGAACCTCAACTCTGAGCTTGGACCCCCCAAGGCATCTGAGGGACAGAAAACCCACCTGGAGCTTCTCCCCTGCTCCAGGGTGATCTGAGCTGCTCTTCCCAGCTCTGTGAAGGTATCTCCCTTCCCAGAGCAGTTCAGCTCACATTCCTCATGCCGAGCAGGTCCCTGTTTGTACATTTGTTGCCTAAGGCAGTGGAAAAAATGAAAGATGCCTCAGGGACTGAAAAGTGATGCTGTATTCGTGTCCTTGCTCTTGGACCAGTGCCAGGTGATGGGGAAAGAGGGATGGCTGTGCCAGGCACTGGGATAAACTTTCTTGTTGATTTTGGGGGAACCCAGACCCACAGAGGTGTCTGACAGAAGGAGGAGGGTGCTCTGCTCTGCAACAACCCTGTCCCTGCAGATGTTATGTCCCTGCTGGAGGGATCTGGAGTCATCCCTCTCCTCCTCCTGGTGGAGCATCTCCATGGGGCACTGGGTATCCCAGTGTGGATGCCCCTCATGCCAGGGTGTGCATGTAAAGGGGTCCTGCTCCTACAAAGGAGCTTGATGTGGAGCTGGTTTCCCCTCCTTTGCCCCTGGTTTCCCCCTTCCCCACAGCTGTGGGGCAACTGTGCTGCCAGCAGAGGTGATCGACTCAGCATCCCTGGGGAGAGGACCAAAATGTTTAGAGGAAATTAAAAATTGAAAGGCAACGTAGCTCTGCAGCTCTCCCTAAAAGCTGGGGTTAAGCAAAACACGAGCAAGGTGTGTGCTCCAGGGATTTGCTAATGGACTCAGGGACGGGAGGGGTCTGGGGTCAGCCCTGGCAGGTGGATGGAGCTGGGGCAAGTGGCTCTTCCCCTGCTGGGCTGGTGGGAAGCAGGTGCTGGAAACGTGGTGTCCCTGTGGCTGGGGCCGTGCCCATGAGAGCAGAACCACACCTGGACCACCTAAAGAAGGAGCCAGGTACCCCTGGCATGTGGGTGGGTTTGGGAAGGGTGAGGATCAGTGCTCCGGGCAGGGATTTTGTTTTGGGGGGTGTGTTTATGGAAGAGTTTCTCCTGGCTGCCTGGCCTCAGTGGTAATCGGGTACTTTGAGTTTTAAACGGGATGTCAGGAAGGATTTGGCTGGCGAGGAGGATGGGAAGTGACAGCTCGCTTTGGATGAGCAAAGTGCTGCAGAGGTGGCTGAACTCCCTCCCTCCCTCCCTCCCTGGACACGGGCGCTCCTGGGCTGGCCCCTCAGTGGTCGCTGTGCCTGTGCCATCTCAGCGAGGGAGGCATTTTCCAGACAGAATCCTCAGCCCATCCCTCCCACCCCCTCTGCACTTTCGAGTCAAGCCATGCTTTGCAACATGGGGTTCAGCCAAGAAAATAATTTCGGCTTGAAAACCAAAATTGACTGCTTCTGACCCTAAAAACATTTGTGTTTTTATTTTTAGATTTTTTTTTTTTTTTTGAGATGGAAATTTAATCTTTTCCTTGTTTGAGGAGGATAAAAGTGCATTCAACCCTGCATCAGATTGTTTCACTTGACCCACGAGTAAATGCTTTTCTTTCCTCTGACCTGGAAGGCTTTCTTTTTCTTTCCATTTGGCAAGAAAAAGGGAAAAGCCAAATCTTGGTACAGGTCACTGCAAAATAAGGTCTGGAGCTGGAGCTTTTCAGCCTGAGCGCTGCGCCAAGACCCATCAGCTCTTCCCGCCGGTCCCTGGAGTGGCTCCCTTCTTCTTGCAGTAAAAAGCCCTGGTTTTGCCTTGCATTTTGCTGGGAGAAAATGCCTGCCAGGCAGGAGAGCAGCCTCTGGCTGCTGAGTTTCAGATGAGCAGAGATGGGGACAGTGCTTGTGCCTGGCTGGCCTTTTGAAGGACATCCCTGAGATGGCTCATGTGAGCTGGCCACCACTGCATCGCTGCAAAGGCCCGTTTGACTTCGGGGGGGAAATGCCAAGGAATTCCTGCAGGCAGGAAGGAATGTGAAGGAAACATGGGGCAGCAGTTCTGCTGGAGCATCCCTCAGGTGGGAAATGGGTCAGTGCTGCTTTTTGGTTGAACCAGGGGTGTGCTCTGGGGCTTGGTGCTGACTGCAAGGATCTATGTGCACCCTGTCCCACAGGAACAGGGGCTGTGGATGTCCTCCTGAGCACCCCTTGCATCCAGGTGAGTTCTCCCATCTCTCTCCATCTTTTACCTAGCTACTCAGGTGTCATTTCCAGTGTCAGTGGCACCACTCCAGGCACAGCATTCAAAGCAGAGGGAGAAAGGAAGGAGCTCCTTGTGGATGCTGTGGAATGCTTTGACCTTGCAGGCAGCAAGAAGTGGGGCGTGGGCTGTTCTGCATCCAAAGTTTAGGACCAGTTGGAATTGGGACTGCTGCAGGAGGAAAAGATTGGCTCCTTCCTATGATGAGTTGGCAGGGCAAGTGAAGAGGGCTTGGGATGGGCGAGGCTCCCCCTGGCCCCTGCTGCCCTCACCTTTTGTGAGTGGGTTCCTCATCCCCTCCCTGCTGCCAGGAGGTTTCTTTCCTGATCCAGCTCTTCCAGGGCACAAGCTGATTGCAGCGGGGTTGCGATCTCACTTGTGCTTTTAATCCCACTGCTGTCAAGCTCCATTAGGAGGTTTGGCATCATCTCACTACCTCTGGGGCCGGGCCGCCGTTTGCCCAGCCTGAAATGAGGACAAGTCTGGGCTACGCTGGAGCGAGCAGGGGCCGGGGAGGCAGAGATGTTTTAGGGGCCCTGGCTGCCCTCACTGCTCTCCCCAGCACTTCCAGACATAGCGAGGGGCTGCAAGAAGCGTGAGACCAGCTCTTCCTGGTGGCCTGGCCACTTTGGGAGCAGGATGGAGAGGAGCTGGGATGGCGGTGAGAGCCGCTCCCCAGGCACTGAAGGCGCTCGGAAACCTTTGGGCGCTGCAGCCTCAGCCCACGCTCTGCTCCAGCTGCATTTGGGTGACCCGGGGCCGACCTCCCCCCGCTGCCGCCGCACACGTGTGGCCGCGGC